GGCTCCGTAACGATGCGAAGGTCAAGACGAATCCGAAGCAGGAGCCTGCTCAAGCTGAAGGCGCTGCTGCTGCTGGTGGCCATCGCCTTTAGCAAGGTGTTCTTCTCGAACATCACGCAATGGGGCCCCAAGGCCCACAAGTTCATCAACGAGCAGGGCAACGACATGGACATAATCATGATGTGCGAGACGCACTTGGCGCAGGATCAGATGAAGCAGGTGAAGGTGGACGTGGCGAAGGACGGCTGGAAGTCGGCGGGCACAGCGGCGGTGCCCACGAAGCGCTCGGCGAACGGGACCTCGGGTGGTGAGCTCATCCTGGTCAAGTCTCACATCGCCTGCTCCACCTACGACACCATCAGAGAGAGGCTGCAGAATGACGGGAAGAAGGACCCCTTCTACGGCTTCACGGCGGTGAATCTCCACACCAAGGCGGGCAACGTGGTCTTGGTCACAGCATATTGGTTACCAGGAGCTGGTCTGCACGGACCCAACCGAGAGAGGGTCAGAGCACTGGCAGGATTCGTGAAGGCGCTGGCGGACCCGTGGGTGGTCTTGGCGGACTGGAACGTCACCTTCGCGGACATTGCCAAGACGGGCTACGTGCAGCAGATCGGCGGAGCGCTGGTCAAGCCAGACGTGGAGGTCACCTGCGACAAGGGGAAGGGCAGCCTGATCGATTACGGCATCGCAAGGAAGGACTTCGCGCACAAGGTCAAGCTGGAGGCAGTCCGCACGGTGCCTTGGCGAACACACTGTGGACTGACGCTCACGCTGGAAGGCTCGGCGACGGCCTGGTGGCACCGCAAGATGCAGTTACCGAAGGAGCTGGCGACACCGCCGCGACCGAAGAAGTTGGCGGATCCGAATAGCAAAAGGACCCGCAAACGACAGGAAGAACGGCAACGAGCAGAGGAGCGACTGGAGCCACACCTTCGGGAAGCCTTCCAGGAGCAGGCCATGATCGAAGAAGCGGAGTCAGAGAAGAAGGTTAAGGACTTCTACATCACAGATGGGACTTGGACGGCGGCGGTGGCGATGGCGAGCTTACCAGGTTCGAGCTCGACACCCTCGGCGTCCCAGATAATTCTTTTCGGGGGCAGCCAGGGCCGCACCCCACCTCCAGCCTCCAGCGCGTGGCCGCTCCTTGCGAGCGTTGAGCCGCCTGAGGCTGTCGGCCCTCCAAGCATGGAGGATAATGGGGTGCTGGCGTTCCCTGCTGCTTGGCCCGCCGCATCTCAGAGGACCTCATGCTGGCACCTGTCTAAGGGGCTCCAGTCATGGGACGACAAGCTCATCATCCGAGACGTCAGGCACCGCGTGGCAGAGGCAGCAGCGACGAGGATGTACGGCGACTGGGTCACCTGTCTGGAGCAGGCGGCGATCCTCACGGATGAGATCGACGAGGAGGAGGCCGAGCACTACAGAGGACGGGCTTCGGGCTTCGAGGTCAAGTGGGTCAAGGCGCGTTCGACACCAGGTCGGACCCACATGAAGTTCGGTCCAGCGGAGCAGTGGGGCATCCTCAACGCCATCCTCATCAGGTACCAGGCGCTGTACACCAACGGCACCGACGGCAGGCAGGCAAAGTGCTTGGTGGAGGCAAAGGCGCAGGGCAAGGTCCTCCAGCAGATGGATCAGAGCCAGGTCTTTGGCAGGAAGCACGGCACTGCACAGCAGCAGATGTTCTACGATATACTGGACGACCTGGCGGACTTGGATGAGGGGCAGCTCGGCAACTTAGTCATGCAGGCAGAGGGCCACCTCGCCACTGCGCAGGCGCGTGGCTTCACGGCGCAGCAGAAGAACTTCACGGCGTGGGCAAAGAAGGCATGGGCAGGCAAGGTCGGCCTCCTCCATCGGCACGTGAAGGAGCAGCAGGCGCCGAGGTTCGAGCTGTGCACGGAGGAGATGGAGGGCATCGCGGACCCAGACGCCCTCATTGGCATCAGGAAGCACGAGTGGGAGCGCATATGGACGGACCCAGTGGACACGAAGGAGGACATCGCGTACCAGCTGGGCAGGCTGCGCGATCAGTCCTGGGAGCACGTGCTCGAGCCCCTCACGCTGGAGCAGCTCGACGGGGCCATCGGCGCGTCGTCGTCGGCCAAAGCAAAAGGAGTTGATCATCTTGGCCCGCACGATCTGGCTCGGGCTCCCAGAAATGCAAGAATATGGTTACTTCACATCTTACAGTATTGCGAGCAGGAGGTCACATGGCCGAGGCAATGGGTAGCCACCAAGTGCGCTCTGGCGGCCAAGCCCAAAGGAGGAGATCGGGTACTCGGTATGCTGGCCCTCCCCATCAAGCTCTGGTCTAGGGCTCGGGGAGGGTGCTGCACAGAATGGAGTGACGCGTTATCGGCCCATTGGGACACAGCCCTCAAAGGCAGCTCAGCCCTCCGTGCGGGGCTCCTCAGGGCGTGCCTGGACGAAGTGGGGGCAGAGCTCGGAGCATCGGCGATGACGCTTCTGTTGGACATTGAGAAGTTCTACGACACAGTCTCGCTCGTCATCCTGTCCCAGATCGCCCTCAGAGTGGGATTCCCCGCAGTGGTGGTGGCGTTAGAGATCACAGCGTTCGTGGGCCCGAGGTACCTGCAGGAGCGCAACATTCTCAGCGAAGCGATCTGGTCCACGAGGTCTCTGGTAGCAGGCTCTGCCAGAGGCGTGGGGTTGGCGAAGCTGTTCTTGCACCCGATATTAGACAGGGCGCATCGGAGGTCGCCACAAGCTTCGCTGTGGACATTCGTGGACGACACGGTGGCGAGACAAGAAGGTAGCAGGCAAACAGTCGGCGATGGCATCATCCAGGTCACGGAGATCATCACGGACGGCCTCAAGGAGCAGAGGATGAAGATCTCCAGCAAGTCGGTCCTGATAGGCACCCACCCGAAGGACGTGAAGCGGACGGCTAAGTCCATGAGGAAGAGGCAGATCCCCGTCTACGCAGTCACGGAGGCACTGGACCTAGGCCTGGATTCGTCGGCTGGGAGGAAAAGGGTTACGACGAAAGCGAAGCAGCGTGCCAAGAGAGCGAAGCACAGGTTCGCCAAGATCGTGAGGCTGCGACGCACCGCGGCCATGGCCAAAGAGAGTAAAGGACTATGGACGGCAGGAGCAGTACCACAGGCAGTGTACGGCCACCAAGCTTTCGGGTTCGCAGTCCATGAGCTCCAACGCCTACGACGACAAGCTGGACAGGTGGCAGGAGGTAAGGCGCGTGGCCGATGCTTGACGACGACACTGGCGGTCGAGTTGTGGAAAGGCGATCCAGGGGTGGCAATGCGAGTTGCCGTGGTCAAGGAGTGGATCAACCTGTGGCAGCGCTACCCAGAGAACCACGCCAGGATCGTCAAGGCATGGCCGCGGATATTCGACCGTCTGTCAAAGCTTGGGGCAAAACGCTGGAGAGGAGTCCGCGGACCAGTCGGAGCGGTGCAGGCGACCATCATGGACGTGGGCTGGTATGCACCAACGGCGACGGTGTGGATGCGACCAGTCGGAGCAGATGAGGATCCAGCAGAACAGTGGGACATCCCGTCCGCCACGGACGGCACGTTCGACAACACGGGGTGCTTCCAGCAGCTGATAGACGACTTCGAGGACGACATCGTAGCTCAATACTGGAAGGCTGCAGCAGCACACCCACATGGTGAAGGTCTGGAGGATGGAGCGGATGTCTGGCAGATCCGCGCAGAGCAGCGAAGGTTCGAGAAGCAGGGGCAGCTGGACATGGTCGGGGCCAACATCGCCGTGGTCGCGGGAGGACAGTGGCCGAAGCAGCGATCCGTCGACCAAGGATACCTCCTGGACTGCAAGAAGTGCGATAGGTGCAAGGAGGAGGACGAGACCTTGATGCATCGGATCTGGCTATGTCCCAAGAACGTGGACCACGAGGACTTCACCAAGTCGGCAGACCTCCTGCCGGCTGCGATGGCGCAAGCTGAAGCAGAGCCAGCGCTGTGGCTGCGAGGACTGCCGCCAGCCTCTCTCACGCACCCTAGGTTTAATGATGAACTGTTAGAGGGGAGGGAGGTTCGGTTTGGAGAGCTGGGGGACTGGGAGGAGTGTCGGTACGAAGGAGAGATCCACATTTTCGGCGACGGCTCAGGAGGGAAGCACTCCTCGGACCCTCGCCGACGCCGCTGTGGATCAGCGATTGTAGCATTGCAGGTGCGCGACGGGGAGTGGAGTGTGGGTCGTGCTGTTGCAGTCCCACTCCTCGGTCGCAGGCAAACGGTTCCCCGCTCTGAGATTTTAGCGTTCGCTTTGGCGCTCGAAGAGTGCCACGCTGATTTTATTTTCATTACTGATCACAGGACGATCGCGAAGACCTGGAAATACCGCATGGAGCACCCTAAAGCCACGGGTCCCAATGAGGACCTTTGGGCCCGAGCCAGAGTGGCCTGGCAGACCCACCCAGACAGAGTTGTGAAGGTAGAGTGGACGGCGTCCCATCTGGACGAGACGCCTGAGCTGCTTGAATCGCCGCGGCAGCTGTTCTTGGCAGCAGGGAATTTAGCAGCTGACGTCTGGGCGGGAGTCGGGGCGGAGCTGGCTTGGGAGTTCGGGCTGGTGGGGAGGGTTCCTGAGACCGACAAGATAGACGCGATCGCACACCTCGTGCGGAAGAGAGCGCGCAGAGCTTTGCTACTGGCCGCCGCGTCGGAGACGTCAGAGCGTGCTGGTAGAGCCCCAGTAAGTAAGAGACTCTTAAAGCAGGAGAGATTGATCCGAGATTCTCCCCACCAACTAGAGCGTGTTGGAAGCAAATGGAGGTGCTCACAGTGCGACGTGATCGCGACTGGAGCCAGGTTTTTGCGTTTTTCGGTTTCTCCGTGTCCTGGGCCCCCTGGCAAAACCAGGTCGGTGGTCCCAGAGTTCCTGCCGATTAAAGGAGTGGACCTTGAGATCCACGAATCCCACACGATCACTAGGGTCGATCGCTGGTTCTTGCAGATCTGCTCGGTCTGCGGCATGTATGCGACTGTGGACTCGAGGTCCTTGCGTCTGAAGTGTCGAGGTCTCACACCGAACGGTGCCGAGAATATCCGTCGAATTGAATTAGGTCTTTTCCCTCGGCGTGAGGGCCCCCCCAGAGCCATCAAGATGGCCATTGCTCGCAGAGATGAGGGTCGTGTTGTGTCGGCCCACGAGGCCAGGGGTTCGCAGGAGAACAGCGAGCGTGGGGGGGGCCCCACCGAGCCTCCCGCGGCGACCCGCGCCCGCAACGACGGGCACGAGCGGGAGCAGCCGAGCAGTGCAGCCAACGAGTCGCGCTTCCAGGCAAACGTTCAGAGATTGCTGGCTGCTGCGAGAGGCACGGCTGCGCATGTGCGGGCGCCGCGGGAGGATTCAGAGTCTTCCGATTGACGGCAGATGCCCGTAAGCCAGGACGAAGACTGAGGGACAGAGGTCCGAGAGCAAAGAGGTCCAAAGAGGTCCTCCTCCTCATCCTCCTCCTCCTCCTCCTTCCTTCTTCTTCTTCTCCTCCTCCTCCTCCTCTTATTCCTCCTCCTATTCCTCCTCCTATTTCCTCTCCTATTCCTCCTCCTCCTCCGCCTCCTCCTTCTTCTCCTCCTCAGCCTCCATTCCTTTCCCGTATGAATAACTTCTCTCTGTTGCACCCCGAGGCTGGTCGAAAGGGCCGCCCCAGCGTTGCGTTTGAGACGCCTTTATCATTTATGAGCCTGAAGCTTAAAATGTGTGGCACTTTCGCGGGTGGAGGGCGGATCCTTTTCAAAATGTGGCTCTCGCCTTTGCGCTGCGCACATTCGCTTGGACATGTTCAGAACAGCTCGAAGGATCTTCATGGTTAACGTTCCAGACATGGTTTTGAAACGATGTCGGACTGTCAGGGCGCAACAGTTACGTTGATTCGTGGTGCTGAAGTGACAGGAATAGAGTTCTGGCGCGACTCAGGTTCATCAAGACGCAGCAGTAACTATGATTCGCGGCGTTGAAGTCCCAGGAATAGTGTTTTGGCACAGCTTTGAATTTTCAAGCGGTTGTTTTCCAACGGGGCCTCTCCTTCAGTGAAAATGAATCTTTGTATGGGTCCCATGAACAGGAAATTTTGAGAACTTGGAGGGAGGGCTTATCGCAATATCCTTGACGAGTCTTGGGTTTACTCTGGTCCTCTTCCTCCTGCTCCTCCTCCTCCTCCTCCTCCTCCTCCTCCTCCTCCTCCTCCTCCCCCTCCTGCTCCTCCTCCTTCTCTTCCTGCTTGTCCTCCTCCTGCTTCCCCTCCTCCTCCTCCTCCTCCTCCTCCTCCTCCTCCTCCTCCTCCCCAGACCTCCACGACGTTCCAGGTTATGCGGTGTGTCCGCCGGTTCCGAGAGGCCTTCCAGCCTCGGGGTGTTTTCACGGAGACGCGCCCCCGCGCGAGCGTTCCAGGGGTGCCCGCATCATCCCGAACGGCCTCTGGAGTCACGGCTTCCGGCCCAGACACCCAACGTCTGGCTCAGGGGGAGGAGGAGGAGGAGGAGGAGGAAGGAGGAGGAGGAGGAGGAGGAGGAGAAGGAAGAGGAAGGAAGGAGGAAGAGGAAGGAGGAGGAAGAGGAACGAGGACAAGGAGGAAGGAGGAGGAGGAGGAGATTGTTCTTGATCTTCTGCCTCTGGGGGCCGGCTTCGGGCCCCCGGGGCCGTGAGAGAGAAGGGCTCGGGGTGGACAGCCGGCCCGTGTGCCCAGACACGCGATGTCTTTGCCTGCCATGATGCGCTCGTCTTAAGTCGGGCGGGTCCTCTACAGGAGGACTATTCCAAAGTAGTCAAAAAATAATACGGGGACCGTTTATTTGTATTTCTGCATATGTTTTAAATGTTATTGATTCTCTCTTATTGTTCACCCAACATCCGCCTGTAGGAGGACATGCCCGACCTACGGCTCGTCTTGACACCCAATACGTACCGTGCTCAAACCGACAGGATTGAACACGCTGCGTGTTGGCTCCGCGTGTTGGCCCACGTGTGGGCGACCGCATCGCGCCAGACCTGCGCAGTCCATCCACGTGTTGAGCTCCGTGTCAGCACGCTATGTCTTGCGTGTTGCGTGTCGGGGCAGCTAAAGCGATGTCTTATTTTTCAATACTCGGTCCCTGGAAACCCGGCCCATTCCCCAGGGCCGGTTTTTCACCCCCCCGGGTCGCTTTGTGACGGCCCCAGGGCCCGGCGAGGGCCCCCAGAGGCCGAAAACAACAAACAGTGTCCCGTCCTGGTGTGTTCGCGACGCGAGCGTGTCTGGGTGGGGGGGGCCCTGCGCCGAAAAAAATCAGGCGTCGGGCGTCTGGGCTCCATTCCGCCCCGCCCACGCAGCAGCACCGCCCTTCTCCTCGCGAGCAGGCGCCGCGCCGCGGGTGGACACCACGTGGCGCAGGTGCGAGCGGGGCCTCGCCTGCGCATCCTTGGCCGATCCGAGCGGAGGCTCAGACGTCGAGCCTCCAGGCACCTCGTTGTCTAGGTGAGGCGTTCCACAAAAGGGCCTTGCCTTCGAGGATCGAAGGAGTTGCCACCTCTTCCTCGGTGAAGTACAGCGAGGCCGCCTCCGCCAGCGGAAACCGGCGGACGGCCAGCGGAAGGCGGAAGAAGTAAAAGATGCGCCCCCAAGAGATGAAAACGTTTTTGTGTTCAGGGTTTTCGGAATCCGCCAGGTCACCCTCAGGAGTGCGAAGATAACCGCGCGTCGCGGTCTGGGCCAGAGCGGTTGCCATTCTCCAGGGGCGCGTCGCGAGGGCGCGGGGACGCGAAGATGATCGTGCATCGCGGGGCGCGATGCGCGAAGCTACGCTACTTAGGAAAGCTCAAATGTCAAGCCTCCAAGCATCTTGTCATTGTTGCACCCCCCTCCTCCCACCCATGTTTCCTGTGAGCGACTCACCCTCGTCATGCGACCAGACGAGTCGGCAAGGCGGCCTGGGCGGTTCGCTTGGGACGCTTTGCACAGTTCAGAGTCCTGCAGCTTGACAGCTCCAGCACCACACGGGTGGACGGTAAGATGTGGCGCTCGCGTTAGCACCACGGCTTTTCGCCTCCTTCGCATCGCTTGGACGTGTACATGTTTTTCGACGAGGACCATCGAGGAGCATTTGAGGCCACCTTGCGAAGCATACACGCACGAAGCCGAAAAATGCACCAGGGATGGACGTCCGAGCGATGGCGAGCCTCGCACACACCAGCAGGGAGGCTCGGGAGGAGTGCGCGTCGACCTGCGCGTGCACGGCACGCCCACGCGGCCACGGCACCGCACGGCACGCCGCGCGGCACGCGGGCACGGCATGCGGGCGGCAGGCGGGCGGCAGCGTGCTGCCTTCTGGAATCTGGAGGCCAGGCACGGCACGGCCGGCGGGCACGGCACGGCACGCGCACGCGGCAGGGCATGCGGCCGGCAAACCGCTTCCATTCCAGAAAGCGGGCGAGAAAGCATGCCGAGTCGCGCGGTGGATTTGCCAACGGGAATGCTTGTGCGGACGTGCTCCGTGCCTCGTTGTCGGCTGGCCGCGCTCCACGGAGAGGGCCGATGCCCCCGGGCCCAGAGCGCCCAGAGGTCCGCAGCCGCTTGTGGCTCACACTACGTGTTTGCTACCGTTCTGCACGCGTGCGATGGCAGCTCCCCTCGGCCGCGCGCTCTTGGCCGCGGCCGTTGCGGTGTCGGGTCGGGTGTTCGGCCTGACCGCCGCCCCCCTGTCGAGGGACGTCCGCGGCCCAGACGGCGAGACGAGCAGGGAGGAGATCGACAGGTGAACGACGCAAGAAAGGGGGGATCGTCTGCGCCGACATTGGCGCACAAGCTGCTCGCGTACGGTCGCACGCCAGCGCCCTCGTTCCCCATTCAACTTGCCGCACTGGCGGCCCGCGCAACTGAGCCGCCGCGCCAGGTCGCTGCGTCATCTCGCGACAGACCTGTTTTTGCTCGTCGCTCAGGTGGCTGGACGAGGCCTCCGAGAAGAGCGAGGCCCTCGAGCAGGAGACGCAGTCCGTGCTGGACGAGATCGCCAAGTGGATCTGGGAGGACCCGCAGGCCAGGGAGGAGCAAGAGCTAGAGATGCTGGAGGGCATCCTGTCCAAGTGGGACGCCGAGAACGAGACGCGGGTCGAAGAGACGGCCCGGCGCATGGCGGCGATCGCGTTTCGCCGAGAGCTGCAGGCTTTGGTGAAGGCAAGGACCACGCGGCCGGCGCTGACGCTGACCAGGGAGGCGGCATGGAAGATGGCGACACCGCCGAGCAAGGAGCTGGCATATGCGGCCAACCCGGCGGACACGATCGAGAAATCGGAGGCTGGGGAGTCTTTCCCGGAGGTCGGGCTCGTCACCAAGGAGTTCAGGAACTTGGAGGCGGCCAGGGCGTTCAGAGGCCTGGCGGCGGAGGAGCTCATCGACAGCATACCGCGCGGCAAGAAGGCGAGGCGCCGCCACTACCGTCCAGCGCCACACGCGTCCAAAAGGACGAGGGAAATGGTCGCCCAGGCGATAGAGAGCTGGCTGCCCGAGGCTGCAAAGGAGACCTCCGAGATCGACTCAGTGTATGCGTCTGCTAACCAGAAGCTGGGCGAGCAACTGGAGACGATTGCGAAGGAGCAGGCGGCCGACCAGGAGCTGCTCCACCAGCTGGGGAACGTCTCCACCGAGCAGGAGGAGGACGTCGTCCCAGAGGCAGACAAGGAGCTGGCGATCCTGCAGGGCATCTGGGACAGGTACGAGTTCGAGAGCAGAGCCGTCAGCGCGGAGGACCTGGCCGAGAGCCTGCACCTGATGCAGGACCCCAGCGGGTGGTACAGCGAGGCCCTGAGGGCGTTGCACCAGATCGGCCAGGGCGAGCCCGAGGCGCCCGAGATCACGAGGCTGCGCGAGACGGTCGACAGGCTGGAGTCCGACCTGGAAGCGGTAGAGGAAGCGCTGAAGGAGGAGCTGGCGCAGGCCCCCGAGGAGTCTGGCCCCGCGAGGGCGCGCGCGAGCCAGCGCATGGCTGCGCTCCGCCGCCAGACGACAGAGGCCGTGGCC